ATACATGTGTATGAGAATGTAATGTAATGTAATGTAATGTAATGTAATGTAATGTAATGTAATGTAATGTAATGTAATGTAATGTAATGTAATGTAATGTAATGTAATGTAATGTAATGCAATGTAATGCAATGTAATGCAATGTAATGTAATGTAAGGTATGTAAGGTAAGGTAAGGTAAGGTAAGGTAAGGTAAGGTAAGGTAAGGTAAGGTAAGGTATTGTAAGGTAAGGTAAGGTAAGGTAAGGTAAGGTAAGGTAAGGTAAGGTAAGGTAAGGTAAGGTAAGGTAAGGTAAGGTAAGGTAAGGGAAGGGAAGGGAAGGGAAGGGAAGGGAAGGGAAGGGAAGGGAAGGGAAGGGAAGGGAAGGGAGTGGAATGGAATGAATTGCAATGGAATGTAATGTGATGTAACGTAATGTAATTTAATTTAATGTAATGTCATGTCATGTAAAGTAATGTAAGGTAATGTAAGGTAAGGTAAACAAGTAATTACATATGTACGTGTGTATATGTGTACGTGCATAAATCTGTACGTATGTGTATGTGTATACACACATGTACACTGTGTATATATATATATACAGACAGAGATATGCACACACGCACGCACATATCACAAATATGTATCTGTATATGTAGATGCGGTCCTCCTGTTGTGTTCGGCGACGGCAAGTGCACACCTCGATTGAGTTATAGGAGAATGGTGCCAAAACTGGAATTTGAGGACGACTCTCGTGATCTTTGCCCAGGCATGCTGGCAAGCGGCGCCACGGCGCGCTGCCGATTTCAGATGGGGAGCGATGCAACCTGATCCTTGCCTACCAACAAGAATTTGGAGTCTCAAAAGCAAGGAAACCCGAATACGGCCTAATTCGGACTTGCAGCATTTGTATGAGAGCAAATTGGCCCCGGAGAGGGATCCCAATTCGAAGGAACCTCCTCCCACCCCAACCCAAATTAAACTAATCCATGCGGCGGGGGAGTCCCAGAGTTTTGGGGCCTAGGGCTTAGGTTATGGGGCTCAGAGTCTAGGTTTCAGGGAAGAGCCTAAAAGCTAAACCGCGAAGACCCAAAGACCCAACATGTGCGATCTTGATCGACGTGGATCTTAAACTGAGGACCCTCACTCTTGGTTTCGGGCTTACTCTCCAATGTATTTCCGATTTTGCTCAGCGAATCGGCCATGATATCTAGGACCATAAAGATGCAAGTTCATGACGGAGGAAGTACTATAGGGCCTTTTTTCAATAATTGGACTCGGGTTTTGGGTACATTATTATACTGTATGGTACCATAATCATAATATGAGATCCCCCAAATACTATTGGTAATTATCCAAGCCCCTATAGTAATAGCTAGCAAGTTATGGCCGGGGTAAATCGGACCGGAAAAAGGGGAAAGCAAGAGACCCTCAACCCCAAGCACTAAACTCCTAAATTTTGAACCTCAAGCTAACTACAGTGGAGAGCAGGGATTTGGGCAGATGCAGTCTGGGTACAATATTTACTTATTCTCTTGATTACGGCCCATATCCCTTATGCTGATCCTCACCCTTCTAGTAATCCTTACATACCTATTCAAGGAACCCTATTCTATGGAGTAAGGCCCCCATATTAGGCAGGGATCCCAAACCCTCCTCCAACTTCCCGAAAGGCAACACTTTAGACCCCTCCGCATCTACTTACTGTGTCATCTACTTACAGCGAATCCCAGCAAGTCGGAACATAGGTTTCGGAGGACCCCTTAGAGTTTACATTACCTTAAGGACATGAGGCTGTTAACGTTCCAACTTTCTGGCTTCTACTGTAGGGTATAGGAGTTTAGGGTTCGGGGTTTAGGGTTTGGGTGCTCAGGCTTAGAGGGCTTGGTGTCCTATGGCAGAGCTGCAAGTTTTTAGAGTATATAGGGTTTAGGGCAGTTGCGGTGCGGGGATTGGCGAAGGAATCCGGGAAGCCTACGTTAACCGGACCCCGGCAACTGAGGATTATGTGGACCAAGAGCCCAACATTTCGTGATTCAGACGGATACCTGCTGAGGCGCTTTGTTGCTGGGCTTAGACGGTACCAAGGCCCAATCTTGGTTTAGGGGTTTAGGGGTTTAGGGTTTAGGGTTTAGGGTGATTGAGCTGATTTTTGTTTTATAGCTTGATAAAGAGCTTCACTGTACCGGCTGTAGTCAGGAATATGGTTCACCTGGCCTGCTGTGCTCTAGCTTGAACTGCAAGTCGGTTCAAGCCTAAACCCTAAGAAATCCTAATCCGAAAGCCCCAAACCCCAAGCCATCCGCAGCAGTTTGAGCCGTCGGATTCCAACAGCCTAGGCTCGCACGAGAACCAAAAACTGAGACAGAGGTGGCCTAGGGTCGAGGATTCAGGTGTGGCTTCCTAGGATGTGGCATTGCTTCTTTCGGCGGGCGTCTCGATAAGTGATGCTGGATTGTTTTTCGGTGGTAAGGTTTAGTGATTAGTGGGTGAAGTGGAGACACAGAGTAGCGCACCGATACATCTTCTGTTGGACAAGGTTTTTGTCTTGAAGACAACTGAGCAGTCAGCAGACATCCAAGGCTCCGGTGCGAAAGAGGTCTCGCAGCCCGGTTCCTAGGTGTTTCAGGGGCGTACGTTGTGTGTTCTTCGTAGTCTTTTTTGTTATGTTAGGTCCCTGGTCTTCTTTCCATATAAGTGGTACATCTATAGAAAGAAAGTATACGTTCCCATAAGGGTCCATGTACTTCGGCCCGAAAGTACCGGATCCTCTTTTAAGGCCAAAGTTAATACTGTTTGGGCACATGGAGCCGCCCTGGACCCCAACAGTCTGTGGAATTAACAGCCGTACTTGCTTTTGAGGGTTTAGGTGCCCTACACCCTAAACCCGAAACCCTAAACCCGAAACCCTAAGCCCGAGACCCTAAACCCTCAACCCCAAGCCCAAAACCCGAAACCCTAACCCCTAAACCCCAAACCCGAAACCCTGAACCCGAAACCCTAAACTCGAAACCCTAAACCCGAAACCCTAAACCCGAAACCCTAAGCCCGAAACCCTAAAC